GGCTGTAAATGACGAGAGCAGCACTGGGACCCTACAGATTATTCAGCCAGTAATGGAACCGGTGTCTCTGAGGGGCGGGCGCTCAGAGCCTCCCTGTGCGACCTGCGGTGCCGGGTGCCGGGCGGGGAGAGAGCTGAGGGAGCAGGGACCCAAAACTTCCCCGCACGCTGCAATAGCTGGCCTTAGGAAATGAGGTAAAGTTTGTTGATAGGTGGGCAGGGCAATGGAAGTCTCTGCCTGGAGAATGGCAAGGCAGTTTAAGCAGATCTGTTTTTCTCCACTTGTCTGGGTCCTCTGGTTTGGGGTCTCACGCTGAGTGCCTCAGCCAGGGTGGACCCGGAGTTCCAGAGCTCCAAAGTTCCAAAGGGCAGGCTCTAAACAGCGAGATTGGCGCTGGGACCCTACAGAGGACTTCAGCCAGAAATGGAACCAGCGTCTCTGAAGGGTGAGTGCCCAGAGCCTCCCTGTGTGACCGGCGGCTTGATGCCGGGTGCCCGGGCTGGAGACAATGCAGCCGGGGAGGGATCTGGAGGGGGCTGGGACCGGAGACTTCCACACACGAGTAGAACGGCAGCAGTGGGGGGAGGGGTGCAATATCTGGCCTTGCGTGGGACTGAAGTTCCCGGGCCTGACCCCAGCGTGGTTGGTGGTGGGCTGGGGGATGGGGGTAGCGAAGTGATAGCCTTTTTGGGAACTCACCAGTTCACCTATGCCGTCGCCATCTTGCCCTGTCTCCGTAATGGTCACTTTTTAGGACTGAGAGGGGCCAGGTCAGGGGAGTCTCCAATTGGAGGTGAGCAAAGGACCTCCTGGATCAGAATATACTGCAGTGACCACACATGCTGAAGAGGCTTTACAGTGGGGGTGGAGCTCATCTGGAGGTGAAACCAGGAGGTAGAGCTGAGAATTTGGAAATGTTCAGGTCCACACGCAGGGAAGCTATAAGAGCCCACAGCTGACACACAGCATAGAACTAGGAATAATGATGCCATGAAACATCCCTCTTAGAGTAAGTGTGTTCTATTATCCTGAGCCTATGCACCACCCCGGACCTAATGAATAAAAGTCCAGACAGAACTTGTGGGAGGCAGACAAAAAGTCAACCTGTTAAGGAATCTACAGTCTTATTAGAGGGACAAGGCTTATGCAAATGAAAGACAATGAGTAAAAGTGAATGTTTTATAGAGCATTAAAAAATGAAATAGAACAGAATAGAAACTATCCAAATGAATCACATGAAATATGAGAGTGAGTAAGTAACTGCTGAGAAGCAGATTTAAAACTGTGTCATGGTTTAAAAAAATGTGAAAAGTAGAGTTTTAGACAATGTATTAAGCAAGGTTTTGTGAAGAAAAGAGGTCAAGATGCGTCAGCCTAAAGGAGAAAGTCCCGAAATATGGAGCCAGGGCTTCCTGGCTGCTCCAAGGTGTGTCTAGAGCAGGTTCACCTTGGTCCAGGCTATGAGGTTCCTGACCTGGGGAGGCTCCTGTGTCCCTGGGAACCTGAGGAAGGACCACAGTGGCTGCCTATTAATTTCTTTAGAGAATGGAAAGCACAGCACTGTCAATGATAAAATGTGAAGACCAAGTTGATTCCTCTGCTGAGAGGTTGAAGGTGGTTGATTTGCACAAGAGATACTGGACATAGTTCAGTGACAACATAAGTCATACATTGAGCCATGACTTCCTGTGGCTTTTCTGTGAAACCCACAGCCTCTGCTACTATCAGCCTCATGGAGATTTGCACGCACACATCTAACATTTGAATTTAACTCAGTGAATAACTGACTCTTGTGGAAGTGGAAGAAAAGGGGGAAGGGTATAGCCATAGAAGATGAGAACTAGAAGGACCTCAGGAATCATCTAGATTAGTTCTTTTTTCCCTCATATTACAGGTAAGAATACTGAGGTTCAGAGTAGAGAAGTAGTTTTAAGATGACCACTTTAGTTAATTTCAGTATGTGGTGTGAGATATGAGTCAAGATTCCTTTTTTATTGTTTTTTTCTTTTTTTTACAAATAGATGTTCAATTTTCCCTTCCTTTAGCCTATCTTTTTATTTTTTGATTTTTTCTTTTGATTTCAATAGCTTTAGGGCATACAAATAGTTTTTGGTTACATGGATGCATTGTACAGTGGCAAAGAAATTTGGGCTTCAAGTGAACCTACCACCTCACTTGTGTACATCTTACCCAATAGGTAACTTTTCATCCCTCTACCCCTTTCTGATTTCCCCTTCTGAGTATCCAGTGTCCATTATATCATTCTATATGCCTTTGCAAATCCTTAGTTTAGCTCCCACTTATAAGGGAGAATGTGTGGAGTTTGGTTTTCCGTTTCTGTGTTAGTTCACTTAGCATGATGTTCTCTAATTCCATTTGAGTTGTTGCAAAAGACATTATTTCATTCTTTTTCATGGCTGAATAGTATTCCATTACATATATGTATATATGTACATGTATATAGCTATATCTATGTCATCTATATCTATATCTATATTTATATCATTATCCACCAATGACCTGATGGACATTTAGGTTGATTTCACATCTTTGCAATTGCGAATTGTGCTGTGATGAAGAGCTGAGTGCTGGTGTCTCTTTTTTGTATCATGACCTCTGTTCCTTTGAGTAGATACCCAGTAGTGGGATTGCTGGATTGAATGGTAGATCTACTTTTAGTTCTTTGAGAAATCTCCATAACTAATTTCCATAGAGGTTGTACTAATTTGAACTCCTACCAACAGTGTATAAGCATTCCCTTTTCACTGCATCCATGCCAACATCTTTTTTTATTTTATTTTTAATAATGGCCATTCTGATTGGTATAAAATGGTACCTCATTATGATTTTAATTTGCATTTTCCTGATTATTAGTGATGATGAGCATTTTTCATATGTTTGTTGGCCATTTGTACATCTCTTTTGAGAGATGTCTGTTCATGTTGTTTGCCCACTTTTTATTTATTTTTAATTTAAAAAATTTTTTAATAAAAAAATTATTTTAAAAACTAGTGCCAGATGTAGCTTTATTGTGATACAGTGACCCACTTAACTCTAACTCAGTTAACAGCCCCTTATCAGCTGCAGATTAGACACAGCAACTAAGTGACTGTAAGGAAGGAAGTCACACGAGCACTTGCAGAGATTTTAATTGGAAGAAATTATCTTAAAAACAGATTTAGAAGAATTATACTTTATAGGCCAAACCATGTATCAGTACAGATTAATTTAATTGGGCTTCCTAGTTTGCTTTTTAAAAACTGTGTTACATTCTACAGAGTGCAAATATTATACACTTCATTGGAAATGCTTTACATACAAAACAATTCGAGCACAAACAATGCATATGGTCTCATGAATGCAATTCAAAACATTGCAATGAAAGTTTAACAGCTTCAAATAAGTAGATTATACTATCCAAATCCATGTCCAACAAAGGACATTTTAAACAGAGAGAGAAAAAGCACAAGTTATGTCAATTAGTGTTGTTATTTTAGTTGTACTGCATGAGATTAAAAAATAAACTTTCAAATTCTAGTAGTGATATTAAAATTAAATTACTTTCTAAACCGCATCAAAAAAGCACTAAATCTTTAAAGTACTTCAGTTAGAAAATTTTGACTTTCCAGTTGGCAATATGACTGAAATATGCAAGAGCACAAATCAAGGATGACAGCACAGATGCCACTGACGTCTCCATTGTCTGTGGATCTGGGATGATGTTGGTTGTACATGTGTGTCATAAACTGGCCTTTCTGGCTCGATAAGTGTAGAAAATCGTGATTCTTATAAGAATCTCACATAAAGTCCAAGAACAAATATAGTCAACAAAAAAGTCGAACCTGTGCACTTTTGTTTCTTAAAAAACAAGAGTATAAATCATATTTGTAACCTAATAAGAGAAACTCCATTTTTAAAAGTCTCATAGCTGTATTTATCTTCCTTTTCAGCTGAAAGGATGAAGCACAATAGCCACAGATTTGTTGCAGACCAAAATCCAACAGGTAATTCCAACACCACCTGCTACTCTAGTCAGAAAGGCCACCAGGCAGTCTAGTGGGGTTATCCACTTACTCTGCACAACAGCCACAGGGACAGAATAATACTTCCAAATGAGGGAGATCATCAGGGCAGCTTGCAATATGTAGAAGGCAACACTTATAACCCATTTTATCTTGGCTAGCTGAGCTGTCTGTGCTTTCACATGGGTTTGGAGCTTATCTGTCATCTTGTTGATTTTCCTCTCCAGCCTGGCGTATCTGGCAAAGTCGCCCATCATGTTAACCGTGGAGAGCTCCTGCTTCATGTCCTGGATCTCGGCTCTCATCTGTGACTCCTGCTCTGCGTCCTTCTGCAGCACCCTGGACATGAAGGAGAAGGACGGGAGGAGGATTCTAAGGACATTGCACCCAAACACGAAGCTGAGCACCAGCAGCCACGCCCAGCGGTCGGTTTCGGCAGCCCTCATCCAGGAGGCTTCTAGCGGCGCCGGCACCAATGCGGCAGCTCCATGGGGACCATGCTGGCGGCCGAGCCTGCGCCTCTAAATTTTTTTTTAAGAAAGCAGGATTTACTGAGAAGACAGAGAAGCTCCCACAGTGGGAGAGGACCCGAAGGGGTCGCCTCTATTTTTTAAATTAAAAAAAATTTTTTTAATTAAAAATTTTAAATGAAAAAAATTGTTTTCATTTTAAAGATGTGGGGTACAGTTCAGGGTTAGGTATAAAAATGTTCATTATTCAGGTACCCTTGTTGATGAGGTGTGCCCCCCCTTCCCCAGGCAGATTCCCATTACTGCCAATCCTAAACACTCCCCCACCCCCATCAGTTTCCCACTACTGCTGATCCTTTTCTTGTAGTATTATGATAATTGTTCAAGTTCCGCTTATAAGGGAGAACATGTGATACTCCCTTTGTTCTTTGTTTCTGTGATGCATCATTCAGTATTATACACTCTAAGTCCATCCAGGTTGCTGTGAAGTTCATGATTTTGCCCTTCTTTCTGACTGTGTAATAGTCCATCGTGTATATGTACCACATTTTAAAATCTAGTCCTCTTTTGATGGGCAGCACGGTTGGTTCCACGTTCTTGCTATTGTGAACAATGCTGCAATAAACTTGCATGTGTAGGTATCTTTGTCATAGAGTGATTTGAGTTCTTCTGGGTATATTCCCACTAGGGGGATTACTGGGCCAAATGGAAGGTCAGTTTTTAGATCTTTTAGGAATCGCCACACTGTTTTCCACAGAGGTTGTGGTAGTTCACACTCCCACCAGCAGTGTAGAAGTGTTCCCCTTTTGCTGCATCCTCTCCAGCATCTGTTGTTTTTTGAGTTATTGATGATGGCCATTCTGATTGGAGTTAGGTGGTATTTCAGTGTAGTTTTAAGTTGCATTTCTTTAATGACTAGTGAGGCTGAGCATTTGTTCATGTATCTGTTGGCTGCTCGTATGCCTTCTTTTGAGAAGTGTTGATTCATATCTTTTGCCCACTTTGTATGTTTGTTTTTTTCTTTTTGGCCCGTTTGAGTTCCTTGTAGATCTTAGATGTTAGGCCTTTCCAGGCATACAGTTGGCAAATATTTTTTCCCAGTCTGTGGGCTGTCTCCCTGTTCTCTTGATGGTTTTCTTGATTTGCAGAAGCTTGTCAGTTTGATGAGGTCCCACTTGTCTATCTTATCTCTCATGGCATGGGCATTGGAGTTTTGATCATGAATTTGTTTGCCAACTTTTTAATGGGGTTATTTGCTTTTTCTTGCTGATTTGTTTGAGTTCTTTGTAGATTCTGAGTATTAGTTCTTTGTTAGATGTATAGTTTGCAAATATCTTCTCCCATTCTGTACATGCCTATTTACTCTGTTGATTATTTATTTTGCTCCATCAGTCTATCTTGAAAAGAATATACTTCTTATTTAATTACTTTGGTATCTTTTGACAATTAATCAATCAAAATATGGGTCTACTTCTAAACTCTATCATGTTTCATTAATTTTTTTGTCTATTCTTCACCAATACCTCACTGTTATGATGACTGCAGCTTTACAGTAAGTTTTGTGATCAAGAAGTGAGAATCTTCCAACTTTTTTTCTTCAAATGGCTTTGTTTTTTTAAATATATAGATTTTTAGTCAGTTCATTAATATAAACAAAAAATTCTGCCCAGATTTTGATTGAACTGAATCAATTGCATTGCTATTATAGATTAATTTGGAAATAATTGACACCTGAACAGTATTGAATCTTCTGATCCATGAGCATGGCATATCATTCCAATGACCTAGGAATTATTTGATTTCTCTGATCAATGTTTTATAGTTTTCAGCATAAAAATTTTAGATTCATTCCAAAGTTCTTCATGATTTTAATGGCATTGTTAAATGGTACTGATAATTTAATTTCCATTTCCAGCTGTTAATTATTAGCATATAAAAATATAATTGATTGCTGTATGCTGACCTATTTATATGGTTGTGGTAGACAGAATTCTAAGATGGGTTCCAGGATTCCCACCAACTGGTGTACGTGCCCTGGACAATCCCTTTTCCTTGAATGTGGGAAGACCTGTGAGTAGGATGGATCCCACTCCTATGAATAGTTTACATGGCAGAAGTAAAGTAATTTTGCAGATGTAATTAAGGTACCTAATAAGTTGGTTTTAGGTTAGTCAAAAGGGAAATTACTTTTGATGGGCTTGACTTAATAAACCAAAAAGCCAGCAGGGCTCGGTGGCTCAGCCTGTAATCCTGCACTTTGGGAGGCTGAGGTGAGTGGATTGCCTGAGCCCACGGGTTCGAGACCCGCCTGGGCAGCTTGGAGAGACCTCTTCTCTACAATAAATCAAAAAAAAAAAATTAACTGGGTGTGGTAGCGCGCACCTGTAGTTCCAGCTACTTGGAAGGTTGAGGCGGAAGGATCGCCGTAGCCCAGCAGGTCGAGGCTGCAGTGGCAGGGAGTGGCCACTGCACTCCAGTCTGGGTGGCAGAGTGAGACTCCAACTCAAAAAACCAAACAAACAAAAAAACCAAAAAGCCTTTAAAGCAAGAGTTTTTTGGGCGGTGGGGGTTGAAGAAAGAAATTCATGTTTCAAACTGATTATGGAAAGGTGAAGCCTCTAGGAACCCAAGACCTCAATCCTACAACCAGAAGAAACAGTATTCCAATAATCTGAATGAATTTAGAAAAGGATCTTGAACTTCAAATGAAAATGAAAGCATGGCTGACATCTTAATTTCAGCTTAGTAAAACCCTGAGCAGAGGTTCCATCTAAGCTGTGCCTAGACTTCTGATCCACTGATTCTGCAAGATAATAAATGTATGCTGTGTTAAGTTGTTAAGTTTGTAGTAATTTGTTATGTATTAATAGTAATATAAAACAAATACAGTTTTTGTATTTAAAATGGATTTCTTGTAGGTAGTATATTATAGGATCTTGCTGTTTTAACTGATCTGACAATTTCTGCTCTTTGAAGTTTTTAGACCATTTATCAAAGTCTACCTGTCAGAATCTCAAACCACTTCACTACTAAGTTTAAGAAAGTTAGTATTATATACTTGCAATTTATTCCTCTATTCATATGTTAAAACTTTCCTAATACACTATCAACATTTTTGTTTTAGATAGTTAATTATTTGTTAGAGATATAAAATATAAGAAAATTTTCTTTTATATTTGTCTTTATTTTTGTCATTTCTGGGGCTTTCATTTCTTTGTGTAGATCCAAATTTCTGTCTGGTATCACAGTCTTTCTTTCTGTCTGAAAAACTTTTTTTGACATTTCTTGTAGTAAAGATAAGCTGATAATTGATTATTTAAGTTTTTGTTAGTCATATTTCTTTATTTCGCTATCATATTTAAAAGACCTTTTTGTTGATTATAGAATTTTGTGTTGACAGTTTTGTATTTCAGTATTATAAAGATGCTGTTCAATAATGTTCTAAACTGTACGTTCTGACAAGAAATCAGCTGTAATTCTAAACTTTGTTTTTCTAATATAATGTCTTTGCTCTCTGGTTATTTTTGGTTCTCTTTCTTAAATAGGAAATGTTTAATAAAATTTGTTGGTTTTGTTTCATTATGTGTTTACTCTTCTTGGAGCTCTCTGTGATTCTTGAATCTGTAGTTCAATGTATTTTATTATTTTTAGAAAAGTCTCAATCATTATGTCTTCAAATATTTCTTCTGTTCATTCTCTCTTTTTGAGAGAGAGAATATGTTAAACTACTTGGTATTGTTTCATAGTTCCTGGACATTCTCTTTTTCTCTTTTTTTTCCTTCTCATTTATTCAAAAGCTCTTTTCATTTAGTTTGGATAATTTCTATTAATGTATCTTCAAATTCACTTATCCCTTCATCAACTGCGTCAAGTCTACTGATGCACTCCTTAAGGAATCCTTTGGAATGTTTTTTAATTTTTAGCACTCATACTTAACTCTTACAGTTTTTATCTCTCTGTTGAAATATTTTATTATATATTGTTTACATGTTCCACTCAATTCTCTTATATATTAATCATAATTATCTTAAAGTCCTTGACCAACTTCTGGATTTTTTCTGAGTCTGTTGACTATCTTTTGATAATTTTTTTTTACTTTTCTGAATATTTCATAATTTTAAATATGATGTCCTTAGAAAGTAGACTGAGAGAGATAGTATTTATGTCTAGGATGGATATACTCTTTCCTCTGTAAGGTCATTAGGTGGGGTTTGAGTAAATCTAATCAAGAATTTAGTTGGGTTGAGGTTTTGCTATAGTTACCTTCAGTGTATTTTAGACTTTAAGTTTTTCTGTGGTTCCCTTGTGTGTAGGGTAGGGACTGGAATGGCATATGCTTTACTCAGTGTTATTGTTCCATTCTCCCTCAGCTTTCAGTCATCTCTGCACAACTCCACCTCACAGAGGGTTGCTCCAGTCTTTGAACTTCCTCCATAGTATACTTGATTGCTTGTTCATCAGTGTTTTACAGGCATATGGTAATAGCAGGACAGTGTTCTTTGTTGCTAACATACAGCTTTAGTTTTAGGCATGCTCTGTTTGTCTGGGCCTTGGGGGCTGGCCTTTCTAGGTGTTCTTGAATATCTTCCCATTGGTGGCTGTATTAGTCAGAATCTCCAAAAAAGCAGAACCAATTGTGTGTGTGTGCGTGTGTGTGTGTGTGTACGTGTATGTATATGAATCTATCTGTATAGTATTTACCTATCTATCTTCTATCATTATCTATCTATCTATCTATCTATCTATCTATCTATCTATCTATCTAATATTATAGGAATTGGTTCACATGATTATACCCAAAATTGCCCCCTCAAATACATCTGCTTCTCTGGCTTTTGGCCTCAAACTGGGAATTACATAATCAACTCCCTTGGTTCACAGGCTTTCAAACTCAGACCAGATAATACCATTGACTTTCTTTGTTCTCCATCTTGAGAAGTCCCATGATACACTATCTCCAAGATGGAGAATGAAGAAAGTCAATGGTATTATCCGGTCTGAGTTTGAAGACCTGTGAACCAAGAGAGTTGATTATGGAATTAC